GAACGAGAGTCTCTTGCCATAGGTATGGTGAAAAATGGATTCAGTGTATTTTTCACCTTGGGTCTATCAAATCGAACATAGCAACTATGTGACTGTTGTTACAATGCACGTTCATGAATCTACCTTGCCTCAAATCGGTGCAGCAAAACGTTTCAACCGTCCGTCATATTTAGATCTAATAGCCAAAAACATGAATGTCAGTCTGTGTAAATCCTTTTTATACCTGTGTGCCAAGTATTGTTGTTGCTAACCTATAGGGTGATACGACTCTACAACTTGGGTGGCAGTAACACGGCAACATTTTGAGTCTACTCAAATGACTACGAAGGGCCCACCGTTTCTCCTTTTGTGAATGAACGATATCACAAAATAAGTTGGCACAGTGCTCAGAAACCACGCCTCCTTGATGAATGGTAGCATGCGTCTGACGACCAACTGTCAATCCGATCAGACAAAGAGTTCCATCCGTTCCATAATTGGCATATTTCTGAGCTCGCAACAAGACGTCAGTGAGACTACGATCCGTAACGTTCCGAACTCCAAGAACACCCCGAGCGTAGAAACGGACAGCTGGTAGCCATGACAAATCTGTTGGGTCGACAGCGGATGGTCGGATCAAACCGTCTTCAATGCGTGACGCTGCTGTCCAAGAATTGGCGTTATGGCCAAAAATAACCTGCTGAACAGTTTGTGGCTGGGGTCGTTGTTCAACGATCACCGGTTGGAGTTTTGCAACAATTGCTGAAGGCTGATTGTGGCGATCGTCAGTAAACAAATCCATGGTTTCAATCAAGGAATAGTTGTCAGGACGTATGAAAATCATTTCAGCCATGACTCGAATGGCCGCACGAATGTGAATTTCATGTTGAGTGAAGATCGTACCATGTCCACTGGAAATGTCTTGTGTCAGAAACTCAAGGAGATCTTGACAATGATGTTTGGATGCTTCAGGTGTCAGATAACTAGGAAGGCGAAAATAATGTGCGAGATTTGCAACCCAGCTCTGTTGTTGTTCTTTGATGCGATGTAATTCAAAAGCGTTCTGAATTCGACTAGTATCCTGAAACAGTGATGTACGTCTTCGAAGACGTATCATATCGTACAATGTGAACCAGTCAATTTGGATCAAATCTGGAATCAATAGTGGGCAGCGAAATACCGCTAACGAAGGTAACGTCCACAATTGCACGCCAGAACCAAGATGATATTGATATTCAAGAGCCGTATAACTTTTGTATGAGCGACCGATAATTGTTGTCATCTGAGACACTGCTGGAGCTTGCCGAAGCACATTGGTTTCAATCAATGAATCGCTGGAACTAGAAGAATGATAAAATAATCCATGAGATGGAATCATCGGAGTGGGTTGTTCAGGAACTGATGGGTGATGTGACCGTGCAACTCTTGATGATGGTCGTGGAGCCCCTTCAGTGTGATCCACGCGTCGATGATCATCAGCCAGTGGTGGACGAGATCTGGACCGTCCAAGATCTGGGGTTCTGGCAATGCCCAATCTGGTAAAACCAATTTCTGAGTTTGTGACACCTGACTACTTTGTGACAACAATTGCAACTGCTGAATTTGCGCTTGAGTCTGTAGAAGTCCCATTTGATACTGCCATGATTGAATTTGACAATGGTGCATCTGCAACGCCTGTTCACCTTGAATGATCCGGTGAGTAATGGCAGCCATCTCTTCGTTGGGAATACTGAAATCAAATTCTCCACTGAACCCACGAAAGTGAATACTAGCATGTTGTGGAGTACGTCGACTTGCAGGAATCACCCACGAAGGAGGTGGATCCCGAGCTGGTGGGCCCCAAAATGGTTTTGGTACAGCAGCAGGTGGAGGCATAGCGAAATGACATCAGAAATAGAAGAGAACTGGGAGAAAGTCTGTAAGCCAAAAAAAGAAAAATTATCACCGAATGTCAAAATTGCAACTCTGGATTGACCATGACAGTTAGAAATAGTTGTAACATGGCTGTAGAGAATATGTACAGCCTGCAAAATCTAATTTCTCCTGAGGCGGCGACGATCTCTGCAAACTCGTAGTAAGACAATGAAGAATCTCCCATATTGTGATAATCCATCCATTTGGGATTAATCTGCGTCCCACATGGGGACTAATTCATCCGCCAGGGACTAATCCGTATTTGTGATGACAAATTGTCATGCCTTACCTCCCAGTGGGGAGTAATCAGATAGTTGTCAGAACAACTAAACTATGTCATATCCAGATTGTCCCGACTGGACAGTCCCTTATCCACCGGAGCGCCCGGTGACCATAGTCTTGACCCGCACGAAGCAGACCGACGGTGCTCACAAGCCAGTGAGTTCACCCTATAACACACTGCTTAGGATATTTAGGATTGGTTTGAGGATGATGAATATAGAGCTTGCCGTCGCCTGTTCGCCTAAGTCGCCTTCATGCAAACGAAAACTGAATCGGAAAGGAGCTTGCTGAAAATAAACCACAAAATGGTGACAGCTTGTTCAACAGTTCAAATTATGCAGGTACGTGACAAAGGCGTCCCTTCGTCATATCACAGCAATTGATGAAGCGTCTTCGTTGAGTGGTGACTTCATCATTGCTCACCACTCCCCTGCATAGTCGAAAGTATACCGTATGTATCCGTATGTGATAACGGTTTTCACACACACACGGTACACAGACAGACACCACACGCTCACACACAAACAGAACACAAAGAGGAAGACACACACACGCACACACACACAGGCACAGACCCTTCTACACACAGACCCTTCTACACACAGACGCTTTCACACAAAGACCGGACCCTTTTACAAAAAAACAGATGCTTTTACACACAAACGCTTTTACACACAGAGGCTTTTACATACAAAAGCTTTTACACACAGACCCTTTTACACACAAAAGCTTTTATACACACACGTGCAAAAGGGTTGCGCGCCGACCTCCAAAATCGCAATTTCACCTCAGTTTTGGACACTCGACTCGACCATCATTTCATGCGAAAGGGTTGCGCGCAAAATTGCGAAATCGCAATTTTACTACATGCTTTGACATCAAAACGTATGAATCAGAGCAGTCGGCCGCCAATGCCATGTCGTCATACAGAAAGTGCCATTTTACCTCAGATTTCGACGATCGAACTTCATTTCGTGGGAAAGGGTTGCGCCGGTCCCGTGAAAATCGCAATTTTACCACAGTTTTTGGCGATCGAACCTCGTTTCGTGCGAAAGGGTTGTCGCGGCACAATCAAAATCGCAATTTCACTGCACATGCAGTTTTTGGCGATCGAAGCTCGTTTCGTGCGAAATGGTTGCTGCCGAGATGGTAAAATCGCAATTTCACCGCAGTTTTTGGCGATCCAACCTCGTTTCGTGCGAAAGGGCTGCGTTTCGTGCGAAAGGGCTGCGTTTCGTGCCGTCTCGTTGGCATTGCCCCGCGCCTTAAGAGAGAAATGGAAAAGAAGGAAAAAGAAGAGAGCAAGAGGGCAAGAGAGAATGTGAGGATGTGAAGATGAGAAGATGTGAAGATGTGATGTGAAGATGAGAAGATGTGAAGATGTGAAGATGAGAAGATGTGAAGATGAGCAGATGTGAAGATGTGAGGATGTGAAGATGTGAAGATGTGAAGATGTGAAGATGAGCAGATGTGAAGATGAGAAGATGTGAAGATGAGCAGATGAGCAGATGTGAAGATGTGAGGATGAGCAGATGTGAAGGTGTGAAGATGTGAAGATGTGAGGATGTGAAGATGTGAAGGTGTGAAGATGTGAAGATGTGAAGATGAGAAGATGTGAAGATGAGCAGATGTGAAGATGAGCAGATGTGAAGATGACCAGATGTGAAGATGAGCAGATGTGAAGATGTGAGGATGTGAAGATGTGAAGATGAGCAGATGTGAAGATGAGCAGATGTGAAGATGAGAAGATATGAAGATGAGCAGATGTGAAGATGTGAGGATGTGGGGATGAGAAGATGTGAGGATTTGAAGATGTGATGTGAAGATGAGAAGATGTGAAGATGTGAAGATGTGAAGATGAGCAGATGTGAAGATGAGCAGATGTGAAGATGTGAGGATGTGAAGATGTGAAGATGAGCAGATGTGAAGATGAGAAGATGTGAAGATGAGCAGATGTGAAGATGAGCAGATGTGAAGATGAGCAGATGTGAAGATGAGAAGATGTGAAGATGAACAGATGTGAAGATGTGAGGATGTGACGATGAGAAGATGTGAGGATTTGAAGATGTGATGTGAAGATGTGAAGATGTGAAGATGAGCATATGTGAAGATGTGAGGATGTGAAGATGTGAAGATGTGAAGATGAGCAGATGTGAAGATGAGAAGATGTGAAGATGAGCAGATGTGAAGATGAGCAGAAGTGAAGATGAACAGATGTGAAGATGAGCAGATGTGAAGATGTGAGGATGTGAAGGTGTGAAGATGTGAAGATGTGAGGATTTGAAGATGTGATGTGAAGATGTGAAGATGTGAAAATGTTTGACAGACCCCCACTATTAGAAGAACCCTTCGCTCAGACGCTCTCGGGAGAAATGGACTTGAGGATACCCTGGTAATCACAGGTGGCAATGGAACATCCCCCATTTGTTAATGTTGATGGTCTACTTTCATGACATTTACTTGGTTTTCTAGGCATTGTAAATGGGTAATAACATGTAATAACCAGATCTAAGGCAGCTAGATCAGTGGGATACACCGAGTCAGATGAATAGGTTTTGATGACCACTTTGTACTATTCAGATGGTTAATTGATATCCCTAATTCTATTGGTGAAATTGAAATGCCCGCATTCATTATCATTCATTGCTCAAGTTCCCGTTGCTGGCTGATTCGCAATCACGACCCTTACAGTACTACTAATCATTATATACCATAGTGATGATAGCAATCATAATATCGATGCTGATAAATAGTTATGATACTGATTCCGGATTATGTCACTAGCACAAGAATCATCATGTCACCTTTCGCCCATGGTGCTCGAGGCAAGCTGGGCCCCTACCGTCCCAGCCGCGGCATTTCGCTGGCGCAGCAAGCTGCCCATGGCACGCCCGAAGAGCGAGAAACAGCGCTGCAGGAGAGACACAACCGGACGGGAAAAGTGCCAGGTTCAGCTGCATTTATGGAAATGACATGAATATAGATAGAGACATGATGATATGATACATACTGATACATATATATAAGTATATATATGATACATTCTACAATTCTATTTTTTATGATGTATATGTATTTATATAGTATACACGTGAAATTACAGTAACATTGAAGGTTTTTTTTTGCAGGATGCATGGACTCGCTGTGTGAAGGAACCCTTGCAGTGACTTACACCTGTGAAACCGAACTCTCTTCCCCCTGCATCACTAGAACGCAAGGTGAAACTAAACTACTTGGAGGCATTTTGTGAGCAACTGCAAAAGTTTGCGCGCCCTGCAGCGTAGAAGACCCGGAACACCAAAAGAACTTTTGTTGCACCAATTGTTCAAAAGATGTGTTTGGTATCCCAGGACGCAACGAAGGCATTTTCGCACGATCACTAGCCCATTGAAAAGTGTCACCGAATGTTACCGCCATTGAGGCGTCACCGAACTTCATCACCGCATGCACATCCTGACTACGGTCAAGATGTTTGTTTTAGCATTCACATAGTTTGCTCATTATTTTCACTGTTAATCATATATATATATACACATATCCTGGGCCTTCCAACTCCCAAAAAATATCAGTCGTTTTGCACAATCAGGCATTTCATGAAATTTATGGTTGTATCGAGCGTTCCCCAAAAAGTTAGGCGTGGTATGTCATGGCTGTGTTTCCCATCGGCATGGCCCTCCTCCCAGTCTTCTTAGTATTTCGCTTTCAATCTGCACATCGAAGCTGGTTTCTGTTTAATTGCGTGCTCCCAAAAATTATACAAATTTACCAGATTCTTGGATTTGCGGGCGTTTGCGGGTTTTTTGCGGGCGTTTTGCGGATTGTTGCAGGCGTTTTGCGGGCAATTTTGGGCGCAGTTATGTGCATTTATATGCGTTGGTGCTGGGATATGAGAATGGCCTGGTATGTCCGTGGGACGCAGCCAGGATGCAAGCCATGTTCAGTCATATTAAAAATGTCACTTGTGGTGATAATGTGGCCACGAGGAAGCAAAACCAGGCAAAGCAGTAGAATTAGACGAAATTCTGAAAACTGGGTCATTTTACGTCATTCTCCAAAACTTCCAAAAATAATTGATCGGAAGAATGTTCAGGATATATATATTTATATACAGTATACATTATGACATAGTCATCATCGATATAATGACTATTATATATATCATATTCTAACTATTATTTGTGTTTATTATCATTAACTGTTCACCCCTGATACTTTCAGGCTACCCTGTAATTATGTTACCATTAATTACGTTACCATTATTCTCATTTTATTCCCATCACTATCCCATTATAACATTGCTGAGTTCATCAGTTACTTTCAGGCTTTCGATGCGACGACAGTTCCCGCTTCCTTTAAGCGGTTGCATATGATTGCATCCAACTTCCTGAAAAACTTCAAACATAATGTCCGACTTGTTTGAAGACGGTTGTTCACCAAAAGGATGGTAGAAACCCTATAATTTTTGGTATAAATGAATATACTGTAAATGGTATAACAGTAAAACACGTGGGAGTTTGTAAAAACCCCGCGCCCCGCGCCTATTCGTTTAGTTTTCCATGATCTCCCATGAACCATTTTTAGTTTTCAGTCGACAAAACGATAAGAGGAAAAAAACAACAATAACGTTGGTTATGTTAATGATCTGTGTTCAGACTCTTGAAATCCAAAGTTCTTGATTTTTTCATCATTCTGCGGCTATTTAGTGCTTTTGGTTTTTCGTTTCAGTGTTTGCTGTCATAATGGCGCAGATTTTGCACAAGGAAGGTGCCCGGGCTGCCTGGCAGGTGGTCGCTACACTCCTTTTTTGATGATTGCCAGAAAAAAAGGAACACATACAGGATTCACGAACGACAACAAAACGATAACGAAAACGATAACTTTTGGCATCAAAAATGGTCCGTGTGAGACACGGCCTTTTTTCTCTTTTCCTCTCCCTTTCCTTTTTCCTGTGTCTTCCTTTACTTTTCCTTTCCCTTCTCCTTTCCTTTTTCCTGTCCTTTTTCCTGTCCTTTTTCCTTTCCTTTTTCCTTTCCTTTTTCGTTTGATTTCTCCGTTCCTTTTCCTTTCGTTTCCCTTTCCTTTCCCTATTGTTTTCCTTTTCCTTTCCCTTTCCTTTTCCTTTTCCCTTTCCTCGCTCATGTGAATTCTTTGCTCAAGGTGTGAAACCAGCGCTTGGAAAAACGATAAGAGGAAAAAAAAACGTCTGGAAAAACCATTTGAAAGGGCTCGGGGTTTTTACAAACCCCCGAGATGTTATAAAACACACCTACGTATCAAGTCCTTTTCAAGGGTTTCACCACGTTTTGTTTTGTTTTCTTCAGCCAAATAGGTATTTGTTTCTCTCTTGATAATAACACTCTAGCAACGGCAAGGGTTTTGTGCAGAGGTTTTTGCGCTTTGCGCAACGATATAAAATGATATATATAAATATAATATAAATGGTTTTCCCCATAGGAAAGTATTGTCCACGTATAATTGTATGATTTAAAATATGTGAAAGTAAACTTTGTACATATTTGTACACTGTACCTATACATACTTGACCTTTATTTTGCATGAGATGTATTTTTCAAACATAGGATCAGCATATGTCATCTATTTTTCAAAATTTGACGGTTGAAAATTACACAGATTTCAAAAAGATATGCAAATAAAGTAGTTATATCAATCATATACATATATAAATATATATATATACATATATATATATGTATATGCATATTCACCATCACCAATAGTGACTCAGTAGTGGCTTTGCAACCCGCCACTGATGTCCCCAGACCAGGAACTCGACAAGTTCGCGGCCGCCGCACGGAACGAGTTAGGAAAGGTCCGGCGCATCCAGGCGGGGAACATGAAAGGCGAATTCCTGGTTTCATGACGCAATGGTACTGGTTAATCATGGTTAACACCAGGAAATTCAGAAACCATGGTTATATAATAATGACCATAGTTATTCATGGTTAATACTGGTTATTCATGGTTTTAGGGATTTCATAGCTATCATATCTGGATAAAGAAAAACGTGGCCCCACGTCACGTGACGTCAATGGTGGCCGCATCTCCAAATGGCCGCAATTTTACCGATGAACATCGTGCTTTAATGGGAAAAAGATATCGGATGTTTGATTATGTTTGATGGTGGATATTCAAACAATTTGATATAAAATAGTATGGACAAATATGGAAACTCATCAGTTTTACATCCATGTTTTAACACATCATTGCTCATAAAAGATCCGCGCTTTACCCATTCTTCTGTGCCAATAATTAAGTGTATGTGACAGTCAAGGTAGACTTGCACATAGATCAGGGCAAGTAACACCGATTGATAACCGCCTCAACTTCAAGTTCACTCTGAGTGGTGAAGATTATAGTAAACTCTGTCCCATAAATGGCATGGTTGGTGGTTTAAAACGTTTGTTTTCCAACTTGGCTTTCGGGATGACGATCCCCAATACCTTCAATTTGGTTTTGATGGGGGTGAACCAGTGCTTGATAGCATCCCACGGTGAAGACCTTTTCTGCGGGTATTCTTCGGATTTCGGGCAAGGAAGGGCAGTCAGTTCACAGCGGAAGGGTATTTTCTCAGTCGGTGTTCTTCCATCTTAAGTCCTTCAGAATACCACGTAGACTAGAGTGTCTGCATTTCCAAGTCTGTTCGGTTGCAACAATCACCTGTGGGAAGTTAAGAAACGGTTCCTCTTGGAGTTCGGCTATGCGTACCGTTTGGTAATCAAACGTGGCAATGGTAAATCGCCGATCAAAGGCAAGGTTGAATGGGAAAAGCTGTAAGAAAACCATAATAAATACGCCATTCTCATCCATTTTCCAGCCAGCCACGTGTGACTACCGGAGGGATAAGCAGAAATATATGAAAATGTGAAGAATCTGGAGGCTTCTGAAGAATTTTGCCTTGGACCCGCGAGTTCTTGAGGAGAATCGGCTCGTGCAGATCAAACAGGCGATTTCGGGTAGCGGGGCATAGCTGGGGTTTTGAAGCTCCTGGAAGATGCTATGGGTATAGGTCAAAATTGTGTATCCCAATAATTTGGTGACTTTTTGATGGTGCATACTAAAAAAATAAAATAAAAAAAACTATATATATATATATACACACACCAAAATCTGTGGTCCCATGGGGCTTAAGTTTTGACCCATCCCCATACCATTTTGTGTTCGCAACCTTGGTCTTATCATAATGTCGCTTTGAAAATATTGGTTGTCGACCCCCATGTGAAGCAAAAACGTGGTTTCCCTTGGAGTTACTCTGTGGTTAAGACTAAATTCGCATCAAGAGATAGCTGGTCGATTTTAAACTATTTTAATGTGATTTTCCCATTGCCAGGTTTCACAAGAGGGTAAAGTAACTTGCACAGCGCATAGACATCCGCACATGCCTCCACACAATGACATGTGCCGCAAAATTGATTACCACATTGCACCTATGTTAAAAAATCGAAACGGCCACAATTTTGCGTGCCCTACGGGATTAGAGTCAAACTTTTGGTGGTCTTTGGTGTCTAACCTGCCAGCTGAAACAGCTGAAACCTGCCAGCACTGCGTTGGGTCAGGCTTTGCCTCCCCATTTCCAAGCCGCCATTCGACTTGTGAGAAATCCCAGTGGATTTCTCGACCTGGCGATGGCGACGCCGATGCATAGATCAATACTTGGATATGTGATGTACATTGTACGTGATGTTCACATGTAGAAACATGGGATAAGATGTCTCCAGCTGGATATGCACATAGTTTTTGCATATTTTATATGTGCAGATATTTGCATGAACGTGTCGGTGCGTGTGTATGTTTGTGTGCATGTGCGTGTGTACCAATGTGTGTATGAGTACATATCTGTATATATGTTTAAATGTGAATATGTGTATCCTGCATTTGTCAAAATAGGTTGCCTAAAATCCACTGGGCTTATCATCACTTTCCCCCAATTCATATGATACATGGGGATAGCACATGTTCAGACTCCCCTATATGGACAAAGAAAGCACTACAGCCATCCTAGTGCCCATAACTCCAGCCAGAGCCTGGTAGATATGACCCAGTCGTTACTTCTGTGGCAGAGCCCATCGTTGATGAATTCCGGGTCAAAAGATTACCCTCTGCTAAAAGTTTACATAACTATGGAAATCACCATTTTTAATGGGAAAATTCACTATTTCTATGGGCCATGTTCAATAGCTATGTTTGTTTACCAGAGGGAACTGGTCACATTTTTATTGGGAAGACCCGTGACCTATGGAACCCTACTATGCGCTACCGGTATATTCGTGTCTCTTCTACCCAAGTTTCAGCCTCAAAGTACGCATGATGAGGGATAGTGGGGGACCAAACTTCCGGGCTAGAGTATCAAGTCAAACCTCAGTGCTCCATGTATGGGATATTTTCCATGCAACATGTAGCCCAAAAAGACCCAAATGTAGGTAAATATTCCCTACATGCAGCATGTGGGTGTAAATATGTGTAAATTAAGGGTCAGGCAGCCTTCCAGATTGTCTCATACTTATCTTCCACTGGCTGATGAGTTTGCCATCCGAGGAAGCTTTGCCACCAACAAACCGGAGGTGGGTGGGGGTACTTTTTTTGCGGTTTTCTGGGAATTTGACCACGAAATGTTGAGTATTTTGCCAAGCAACATGGGGGATTTGAGCATCCATGGGGATGTCGAATGTTGCTTGGTGGTTTTACAAGTTCCAATCCTGGGATGATGATGATGATGATGATGGTCCCCATGGATTTCTGAATACCGTCTTTACCGTCACCATTCCAGTCATGTCATGTCAATCATTGTCAATCATCATTTGGTTGGTGGTTTCAAACCTTTTTTGTTTTCCACAATATATGGGACAATCCTTCCCATTGACGAACTTATATTTTTCAAGATGGTGAAAACCACCAACCAGTTGTGTTTGGGTCACTAGCATAACATATCATCGCTATCGAAAATCTGTCTCATATCATCGATCCATGGCAATGATGTCCATGGCGACCCAGTCATGATCATCGATGATCATCGCCGGTCATTGAAATTGACAATGATATACCCTCTGGTAATTTCACATAGCTATTGAAAATGGCCCATAGAAATAGTGGATTTACCCATTAAAAATGGTCATTTTCCATAGTTATGTAAACGTTTACCAGAGGGTAACACAATGATAATCATTACAACATATCACAACTACCAGGTTATCTATCGTTATGATTCTAATATGTATTTCATTTGACCATGACTACCAGAATCAGACTATGATATTTATTATTTCGCATATTTTGATTGTGTGATATTATGTGATGTTTATATTACTTTATTATACTGATCATCATATAATACTATATCCAGATTGGGGTCATTATCATGATCAGTACCATAATTATGATGTTCATTACCATCAGAACTACAACTATCACAGTGTCACAATGCTTATCTTATCAGATTATCATATATTATCATAATATAATTCAATTTAATTCATAAAAATTGTAGATCTTGAATGATGTTGATTCATTTAGATGAACCTTTCCATACCTTTCCCATCCGTCAGATCTAGCCTGGCTCATCCAGATTTCCAGATTGGAGGCGCTCCTCGACCTCCAGTGCTTCCACACGCGGCATGTCGAGTCCATCGATTTTTATGGGGTGTCAAGCGGCCGGGGGGTTCACCAACATTGGGAGTGTTTACCATTGTTTACCATGAACATCTTGGTAAACTATGGTAAACTGATTGGTGTTCTTGTAGTTTGGCTTGGCTTTTTTCTGCATCATGTCATGGAAGAGGTAAAAATGACCACGCCCCGTTCCACCGGTGCCAGAGCAGAGGGGTAGAGGGGTTTTTCGGGGAGGGTGCCTCCCAAAACGACTTGGGTTGCATTTCAACCAGCAAAAAAGATGTCAAAAAAAGGACGTAGGCAAACACCTGTGGGGTGGGGAAATGAATCAACAAAAGTTGAATCAACATGAATCAACAATAGCTGACTCGACTTTCTCAGTAACGTTTTTCACCCAGTCGCACCGTTTAGGTGAGAGCAGTGGCTGAGACCACGGGGGCCCTTGCCACCTGATGGTGTTGAGGGAAGCTAGCTGTGAAGGTCTCATTTTGGGAGCGGAGGTGCTTGGGACTCAATCAATGAAGTCCAGACACAGGTTAAGATGGTGAAGTTACCATTCGATCAATCAATGAACAATGGCTGGTCACGTCTCACAAAAAAATGATTGTGCTGCTTATGTATATACAGTATCCAAGCGCAGTGTGATTCTTATTTTGGTCAGCGGCATAAAACCAACCATTCAATGTTCACACAGAAAAGAACTTGTTCTGGATGAATTTCTGCATGTTTGGTGGCAGTGAGGCATCGAATAGACCTTCCTTTTATGGGTGTGCAGCTTTCAAACAGTTGATTCTCAGGAGATAGACAGAGCAACGTCAATGACTTGAGTTTCCACTGAAGAGTCCGGATTTCATTTGATACCTTCATCTCCATTAATTCAACCTGCTGTGATGGAGCAACTTGCTGGGGGGTGGTCCGGGGTTGTGCTCATTCTCTTGGAAGAGTTGCACAATCTTTTCCCCATGGATGCACAGCCAAGTGCATCCGTGTTTGGCCTGCCATCTTCTAAGTAAAAAGTGTAGGAGGACAGGGGACTTCGCGGCATGTAAATGCTTGCGCTGGCCCAAGGATTGCCGTGGCTAGGGCGATCTACACTTTGTTGACAGCAAAGTGCCCCCTTGGATGGCCATATAGGGCCATAGGGCGATTGATTACTTTGTGACTGGGGTCCCCAACATTCGGGTATTTGGGATTGTCTCTGCTTTTTTCGGAAAGCCACAACAAGGCGGTATGATACAGTATATTCATATATAATATATTATATATATACACCCTGCTTTCAAGCACACCCATTTAGCTCACCTATGGCCATCTAAGCAGAATCGACTTTTGTCTTTGGCCTTGAGGCCAATGGTTTCTTTGTCTCGAGACACCGGCAGTTGCCCGTGTTTGTGGCACCAAACGGTTCGAGGCGTGGTTTGAGATAAGTTACATCGGTAGAGACGCCATCCGCGTTGCTGGTAGTGCGTTCAGCAGTACCTCTGAAACGGCCGCGGATCGTGCGCACCGACAGCAGATTTTTGCCGGGCAGAGACATGGAGTGCCTGCAGCCAAAGCTGCGGCTACCGTCTGCGTGCCTTGGGACATCTTGGAATATCCTCCAAGTCCAAGAGAGAATGCCTTGTGGCCTTGAGAATTTCACGGTCCAGTTTCAGCAGTTACAATTTTTAGGGATGCCAGCAGAGCTTGCAACTATTATCCTGTCATGTCTATCAATATCTTTCATATCCGATCTGATTCTTCTGGAATTATATCAATAGCAATTCGCACATGATATACATGTGCTTTGAATGCAAAAGTGGATATATGATTGTGATTTCTTGGAGAATTGTGGTTAACTTGGTGGACATAATTGGACATACTTGGACATATAATGATTTTATGTGTATATATATAAATGTAATTATATTGTATAATTATATATATATGTGGACATGTCTTTATCCGCTTGTCTTTTCATTGTGTATGATTGTGCCTCACTTCGCTCAAGTGTCGTTTTTCGAATGCATTGGCTTTCTCTCTTCTCGGAGCAGAAAGGCATTGTTTCAAGTGGAGGCTCTCCCTTCGGGATTGGGAGGTGATTTGGTCATTGTACCAGTGTTGGGTAAAAGAACCTTAAAACCTCAGATGTTGATCATAATCAATACTAAGCCATCCCAAGTTGCCGTACCCGTTTTTGATTCATATGTAGATTGTGGCTCAACCAAGCTACAACCCATGCTTTCTGAAGTTGAGTTGGCTGATTTGGGAAATGAATGATGGTTGGAACATTGTCGGACACAGCGCAGAGTTTCAAGACTAGATGATCACTCTTTTGCAAGAGCACTTGGACGACTCTAGCAGCAGGGAACCACAAGCGGCACACGACCATATAACCAGAGTCCCCAGTTCCTGGTTGATCCATGGTTATCCCGTTTGTAAAGTTTTCCTTTTTTCGGCCACAGATTCTTTGCCTCTTTCCACTTGCCATTCCTGGGATCAGTGAGCCTCAACTGTTACATTCGAACATCTCTCCCCTCAGAATGTTGCGGACGATATACCCATGAAACAGTCGGGGGATCCACTAAGCTTGTTGTCACATGGAAAGCAAGGTATATCCTGGAAAGTCAATCTATTTCCCCAGGGTCTGTAGATTTTAGCAAGACATCCCGCCAACACACTTGCTCAGACACACTTGTCTTCCTCGTCAACCTTATTGCCAGCTTGTTTGCCAGCCACCTCTACACACCCTGAACTCGCCAGCTCTCTGGGCCCGGACCTGAACCCTATGCCAGATCAAAGGTCAAATAGAATGTCAAATGAAATCTAAGATAGAATTTCGGATAGAATGCCAGATTGCCTGTCAGAATATAGGTCAGATAGAATGTCAGATGGATCGCCATATGCAATGTCAGAATGTATGCATATATATATATATATATATACACGCTATGGGCGCCAAGTTCTCCGATACGTCATGTTTCTGGGTGATTGGACATTTTGAAAATTGTGTTTTGGCTCTGGTAATTTGCACATTTTTGAGCATCGTGATTTGTCTTGACTTGATGTTTGACGGACGTTTTTTTTTGTGTCCGTTTACATAAGTTGAAGTACAAAATGTGCTTTTCATTGGTGCCTCTAACTCTATGCTGGAATTGTTCATTTTCCCTGTTTGTTTTTTGTGTTGTTTGTTTTAATAATCCCCTCTCCCTATTACTAAACGTCCCCCAAATACTAAAAACAGGCGTCCATCTCCAATTTCTGAAAATTTCAGTTTGGCCAATTTGACTTTTAATTGATCCCCTTTAGAAAACAATTTGAAAATCAACCTACCATTTGTGGGTTTCCCCCCCCCTAATACTAAAAACTAGTCAAACCCGGGGTGTTTAGTATTAGGGGGAAGCTTCGAAATCCGATTTTTGGCAATATTTTAATTCGGTTACATAAAGAAATTTAATTGTTTTTGAAATCGGAAAAAAAGTTTTTATTATTAAGGTGTTTATCGAAATCCAATTTCTGGCAATATGTTAATTGCGTTATATAAGGAAATTTAATTGATTTTGAAATCGAAAAAAACGGCTTTTATTATTAAGGTGTTTAATTTAGTATTAGGGGGAAGCTTCGAAATCCAATTTTTGTCAGTATTTTAATAGCGTTATATAAAGAAATTCAATTGATTTTGAGATCAGAAAAAATAGTTTTTATTAGTAAGGGTTTTAATTTAGTATTTGGGGGAAGCTTCGAAATCCAATTTTTGGCAAAAATTTAATTGCGTTATATAAGGAAATTTAATTGATGTTTAAATCGGAAAAAAAATAGTTTTTATTACTATATAAGTGTTTTAATTTAGTATTAGGGGGAAGCTTCGAAATACAATTGTTGGCAATATTTTAATAGCGTTATATAAGGAAATTCAATTGATTTTGAGATCAGAAAAAATAGTTTTTAATAGTGAGGGTTTTAATTTAGTATTAGGGGGAAGCTTCGAAATCCAATTTTTGGCAATATTTTAATAGCGTTATATAAAGAAATTCAATTGATTTTGAGATCAGAAAAAATAGTTTCTATTATTAAGGGTTTAAAGTTAGTATTAGGGTTCCCTAATACTAAATACGCTCCTAATACACAAAACTACCTGCCGTGTTTGTTATTGGGGCGGGGACGTTTAGTATTAGGGAGAAGGGATTACATTAATGTTTATATGAAAAAAGTGCAAAATTCATTGGGAAAGGCCAGTCAAAATGATATAGGGCCTTGGTATTTGCAGTATTTTGTAACGTTGTGAACCGAGCCGCATCTTGATAGTCAGAGGTTTTGTGTCAAGTTTTTGTTTGTTTGCCAAGTTTAGAATTGTTGATGTTCCTGTTGTTGTTTTGTGTTGTTGTTTTAACATATTCATTTTTATAATATATGAAGAAAATGTAAAATTAATTGGGAAACGCCAGTGATAGTGAAAGAGGCTATTTTGTATCCAGGTTATGTTTTATCCATACCCATTTCACACCGTCAGTATAGTTAAAATATATAACGATAAACAGCAATGCCGCATGCAGACCAGACCCAGCGCCCCCACGAGCTGAGTCTCGCACCTGCAGCGGATGGAAGATCTAAGAGTTATATGATTATAAGTGACCATGTTTCACCTGCATATACAAGGAACAAAATAAATCAAAATGACACATAGCATCCAACATATTCATGTATGTCTTTATATGTTTATATATATATATATACATATACATATATATATATACAATATTTATAGAATTTTTACAGATACATATTTCCCTAGAGGCCTCACCTATCCATCCCACCCCACCCCATATGCGTGTCGTAGCACATCCTCAGCGTAGCATCATATGTATGTGCCAATGAACGTACGACTGCGTAGCATCACACCTGTATGCACGTGTACTTGAACGTTATCACCCCCCCCACCCCACACCACCCCACCACATAGGAGAAGTCCTAGCCCTTGGGTATATATATACACACAATTACACATATTTCAGGTAGAATGTCAGACAAGATGTCAGAGATAGAATGTCAGAATATGTGTCAGATAGAATTGCAGATAGAGTTTCAGAATATGTGTCAGATAGAATGTCAGAATATATGTCAGGTAGAATGTCAGAATATATGTCAAGATGTGTGCCACGGTGGGGATCACACGAAATTAAGTAATGTGTTTTCTATTGATTCCTCAAGCAAATGCACGAATGCAAAGCCAAGCCAATGAAACTACATGCCAACCCATTTCAGAGAGCCGCGACGGTGGTCAACCCTTATATACCCTCGATAAGAAATCTATGTTTGAGGGGGCCACTTTCCACTCCCCCAGTTGTTTCAGGTAGGATCACTAAGATTGGGATTTGATTTGATTTGTCTGGGAAAAGAACAAGCCCGAATACTCCTGCCACAAATTCTAATGGATTAATGGTCAGTTTTGCGTAAATGTATGGCTACTTTAACCTGCAAGAACATGAACGGGTGGTTTTTCAGTCAGCTAGGTTTCAATATCAGCGGGTATGTATGTGTCTTTCCTTTTCCTCTGATGTTTGACTGTAT